CTAATTAGTTGGAAGTAATTTATTTGATACTGCTAATTTAATATATCCATAAAAATCATTAAGCACAGTATCAAGGTATTCAGTCATCCAAAAATAACTTGGTGAATAGATTAATAAATGTTCATTTTTCTAGTTTGCCCCACTCTTCTGGAATTACTATTTTTCAGATCAGTCTTGCAAACTACAGACACTAAATGATTTCATTACCAATTGCAAAGCCATTTTCATAGTCATAGTTATATTCAAGGCAATATTTTTTGGTCAGGTCCTCCAGTCTGCAGTCAATGTCGTCAGCATCACTACAAAACGAGGGGACCTGCAAATACAAAAATGAGGAGGATACAATGTCATTCACATCTGTGTGTGCTCTGGATAAGTCCTTGGCAATCCTGGCCTTCCCATCTCCATCAGCAGGAAGGAAGAGAGGGCTCTAAGCTCTGCTTGTTCCTGAAAAGGCTCTGACCCTCTTCCACCCCTTTCCCTCCCTCCTCTCACTGCCTGTGAACACCAGGATTAGTCGCATGCCTCTTTGTTTATGTCACTTACCATGAGAAGCCCAGGACTCCTGGGATATCTCTTATCTCTGAACTTTTACCCAATATGGCTCCTGAGGTCCCTTTTTTTCTGACTTTATCTCCCATCCCTCTTCAAGTTCTCAAAACCTTCCCCTGCGCCTTCTAAAGTTCACAGTCAATAAACAGCAATTCTCCTACTATTTTTTTAAAAAATTAAATTTATTGGGGGTGACAATGGTTAGTGAAATTACATAAGTTTCAAGTGTATAATTCTATAATACATCATCAATATATCGCATTGCGTGCTCACCANTGCACCGCAATACAGGGTTTCATCTATAATCAGACACTGTAATTTTTAGGCACTTCATTAGATTACCAGTGAATTACATTAAAAGTAGAAAGAAAAGTTTCCATGGAGCTACGTAGACATTGAAACCATTCTATCTTTGACTTACTATTAATTATCTTACCTTTAGAAGTAAATAAGAGGTGGGTGCAGAATTTTAATCAAGTTCTATTTCCCTCCAGGGTTTGCTCAATTCTTTTTTTTTTAATATCAATTTTATAAACAATGCACATAGATTTCTTTTGTGAAGATTATTCAGGCTATCTGCATAATTTCTGAAGGCAGCATGTAATTAAATATTTATAGGTATAATGCAACTATGACAGATACAACAGATGTTTGTTTCTTTAGGTGCCTTTGATATCACTGTGATCAACTACATGGATTCAGACTGTGGCTTCTTGATGTATGCCATACACTCTTAGTCTCAAGTGGCTTTCATCTCTCTGAACCTTAGTGAATCCATTTACAAATTGGGATCATTATTCTTACCTCATGCGTTTGTCTAATAACCATCTAGATCAACAGTTGACTCATTCTAAAACCTCAATAAATGATATCAATATTTGTCTGGGCATACTGCTGTTGCTTAGTAAGTGCTTTGATCATTAAAATCTATTTATACAGGCCTGTCCACCTACGTAAATTGTATTTTTGAGGTTTTGGGGTTGTTGGGTTTTTTTTGCTTAATTTATAGTTTTGGCCATTAAAATGAGCTGGGATCATTTTAGTTTTTTACTTAAACATTTTTGCCCTCATGTATTATGTAGCTATTATTGAAAAAAACTTATATGAGCAAAGAGAAAAATATTAAAAATTACCTATAATTCCACCACATAGAAATAACTACAATATTTTAGGCAAGATTTTTTTTCTATGATTCTACAGACACATACATATTCATTTATGCAATATAGACAC